GCTGTCTTGAGCTTTTTGGCAGGAAATTATGCTCCCACCACAGAACACTACACTCAACGCTATGAAAACACTGCAAAAACGGTACTTTGTCGAACTTACACGTTTTTTGGTAAACAATAAAGACTTCCATGTTTTTAACGAAAATATGGAAATCTGCAGTTTTTCCAAAATTTTGGCAGTTGACTGTAGCGTTGATGTTGACTGTAGTGTTGACCGTGGGAACCCATGACATTTTGACCCAGAATCCTCAAAATCCCACAGGCCTCGAAAGCGTGGGTTTCTAGCATTTGGGCAGACTGTAGTGTGGGTCACGGACGTCAACCGACAGACTCCGAAAGCTGGCAGAGGGCTTCGTGGCCTGAGCGCATGGTCACGGACAGGTTGGCCGGAAGACGTTTATTACACGTTTCCTGCAATCCAGAAATTGCGAGGATGCGTCTGTTGTCCGATCAACATGTATCACAAACAACATGTATCTGTATGTTTTGCCAAGTACATCTAGTCGGTGCCGCAGGTGGAAAACAACAAGCGTCCTGTGGACCTAAATCGATTTTGAACCCTCAACCCTACAGCCCAACCACCTACCCCAAATCGCCTGGGGTGGTGTTCCACGAGACAGGACAGGTTGCACCAATCCAGGGGCGACCAGGGCTTCCTACCAGTGCTGGACTATTTCGTTGAGGACTTCATAATATGAGGTGTTAAGGCTTGGCTGAGGATTTGGGTACAGGGAGCTGTTGCGAGAAAGATCATAATTTCCAGTGGTCTGCTATGCTAGGTGGCGTACAATCCAGTACAGAATCATGCGACTAATTCAAGAAAACTTTCGGTGGGCATCACATAATTACTACCGATGATGCGGACGGCTGTGCCACACTCGCTGTCAAGACTGTAGCCTGGACGAGGATGAAGAAGACAGCAAGAAGCACCCCCGAGCCTGGCAGGTCTGCTCCGTTGCGTTTTCTTGCGTGATTTGTTTCGCTTATCTGCAAGGTTCTGTCTGGACAATGTTGCAATTGATTCTTATTCCAGCGAGAGACACTCCGAAAAAGGCAGGGGATGGTGTTACCAAAAACTCATTTGGGCTGGTAAATTCGAAAGGCTAGTCCCTACCATCATCAAGTGATGCAGTGCTTCCTGCCCAACCGCTTAACCCCAAGCTTGTTTTAAAGGAAGTTCAAAGCGTTCAACCGCTCTTGGCCCCTCTTCTCGCTGAGCTGCAGAGCCATGCCGGGAGAGAAACTCTTCTCGTGTCGGCCTGCATGGGATGCACGGGCTGTCCAGCTCAGGCAGCAGCAGGCCGCCAACACCAGTAGCGCAGCAACCGCGGCAATACTAAGTAGTAGAACAAATAGGTGGTGCGGCAGCAGCACCAGTAGTAGTAGTAGTAGTAGTAGTAGTAGTAGTAGTAATAGTAGTAGTAGTAGTAGTAGTAGGCGTCCCCCCCTAGGGACTACACTTCACTTAAAATGGAATATAATGGGAAAGGGGTGCGGAGGGGGGGGGTAGTTCCGTGCTGAGAAAGTTGAATCGGGAGGCAACAACTCGTGGGACGTGCGTTTTGGAAGTTATAGGGATTATAGCATTAAGGGTTTTTTGCGGCATATGATCCACGCAGGAAGTTCTTCGACCGGTAGCACTTTCCAGTGGCAGGCACCACGGCGAGGTGATACTAAGATGTCGCCGCTGGTGGACTTTTGACGACCGCAATAAGCGGTCATCTTGGGAGTGGCAGCCGTAC